CCCAGTGACACCTCCAGGAGGAGGTTCTGCCAGGAGTTGGCCCCAGGTCTTTGCCTCCTGGGCCGTTCTTAGCCTCTTCTGTACCTGATGGGTTTAGAGGTTGCCTGGCAGTTGGCACATGCACCGTAAGGGGGAAATCACAGCCGCCTGCTGAGAGCTGTGTTCGCTGCTGTAGGACCCCTGGGCTCAGTGGCAGTGGAGCCACCGGGTAGCTGTGAGTCCTGGGCACTCTCCTGGATGCCACCCCAATGGGTGTCTGAGTCTTTGAGCCTGTCCCATCGCTGGCCACAGTACTTACAACTGCGTGCCGCCCCCACCTGCTCGCTGTAACCCCTCGGGTGCCAGTGAGCCCCAGAATCCTTAAGTGTGGAGGAGTGTGGGGAAGAGGAGTGTGGGGAAGAGGAGTGGAAGGTCGGGCAGAGGACAGTGGGCAGCACTGCTGTTTGTTCTGGTGACAGGTAACCTTCACCTAGAAGGTTTCTAGTTCTTTCCAGATTTATCTTCTAAAAACTAACTGGTATGGAAATATTATAGTCTTGTAACTCTTTTTTTTTTTCTAGGTCATCTTGAACATTCCAAATACCTCCCATTACTCGATGCTGTTGATAAAATCAGGATGGCTTTGAACTCAGTAAGTGGTTAATTATTACCTCCCTGGCCTTTCCTTCCTTCCCTTGTCTGGTATCCCCACTGTGTGGTGATCAGCACTTGTCAGAGCGATGTGCAGAGATGTGTGGGCTGCAGGGGGCTAGCACATGGCAGCACACAGGTGAGTCCCGAAAGCCATTGCTAGTGGACAAAGTGGGTGATGCTCATTCTCGCCTTGACTCCTCCGGTCCTGCTCTGCAGGTGGGGTAGGGGTGGGCGGGACGAGGTGTGAGGACAGAGGAGGCAGGGCGGTGGTAAGAGGGAATAAAGGCCCAGGGAAGAGAGCCGCGTGGGCGGCCACTGGGGCCCGGCTTTCTGATAAACCAGGAAAAGTCTGGCTGATTGAGGCATTGGGCGGCCCATCCTTCCTTGGGGACAAACGCACTTATCTTTGTTCCCCTATTATCTGACCACTTCATCTTAAACTGAAATAAGAGCGTTTAGTAAAGAGTTTGAAAATTTTCCCAGATTCTGTATCCGGAAAACAGACCTTTGTTTTTCCTTTTATTTGTTACTGGTATTTATTTTTTCCCGGATCTGTCTTTAATTTTAAATCCATTGTGCAGGACTCTCAGGGTCATACTGGGTGGGACGGCGTGTTCCTAGATGGCTGAGATTGAGGCCCAGCACATGCCCACCTCGGTGCCTCTGGTACCCTCATTTAGATCAGAGATTACGTTCCATTTCCCTCTGTCCGCTGCCCTGGTTTAGAGTTACAGTCTCGGACTTTTGAAGGCTGCATTCGTGAGTTACTAAGCAGAGGTTGCCTCTGGAGCCTGCATTTGGTTGTTCCTTTACTTCCTGGAAGCCCCATTTAAACTTCTAAGGAGTCAGTGGCCTCTGCCCAGAATACCTGTCCTCTGAGAACAGCCTCACCGTCTCTGAGGTCAGCAAGAGATAAGAGGCAGAAATTAGAAAAAGTTTTGCATGGGGACCTTTAGACACAGATAAGAAGACAAATGTGGCCTCCCAGAGAGGCCCAGACAAGGGGCAATTGAGGGGCGTTGGAAACAAGGGGAAGATGGGGCCGGTGGGGTCCAGAGTGTCCTGTCGGGGGTGGCTCTTGAGAGGGGAGGCCTTGGGAAGGCAATTTGCAAGCAGGCTGAGGCGGGGCAGAAGGACATTCTAGGAAGACAGGCACCAGCCCAAAGACGGAGCTGAGGATAAAATGCCACACTGAGCATTTCCTTTCGCATTGATACGTGTGTACACTCTGACCCAGAAGCTCCTCTTAAAGGGCTGTAGCTGCAGGCATCCACACCCTTCGTCCAGACTTTGCGCTTGCTGTGCAAGGACGGTCACTGCAGCGGGACGGCCACAGCCCGCACTGTGAACCTCTGCAATGTCCGTCAAGAAGAGATGGCGAACGGTGGCTCACGCCTGTAATCCTAGCTCTCTGGGAGGCCGAGGCGGCCGGATTGTTTGAGCTCAGGAGTTCGAGACCAGCCTGAGCAAGAGCGAGACCCCGTCTCTACCAAAAATAGAAAGAAATTAATTGGACAGCTAAAAATATATAGAAAAAAAAAATTAGCCGGGCATGGTGGCGCATGCCTATAGTCCCAGCTACTCGGGAGGCTGAAGCAGTAGGATCGCTTGAGCCCAGGAGTCTGAGGTTGCTGTGAGCTAGGCTGACGCCACGGCACTCACTCTAGCCCAGGCAACACAGTGAGACTGTGTCTCAAAAAAAAAAAAAAAAAAGGAAGAGATGGCGAGTAAGTGAGGATGCGTCTCCTGTAAGAGAAGAGGACACAGAAAAGGAGTTTGCAGAATCACATGGAGAGAACAGGCCCGTTTCTTAGCTCAGGTTCTTTTCTGCAAAGTGGGCGCCTTCATGATACCTGTACCAGTCTCGGGGGCTATGTCAGGCTCCAAAGGGATTGTGAGTACAGAGGCCCCGTAGCATGTGTGTTCTCAAGCGTCAGCTGTTGTCATTCTCCTTAAAATTCTAGCATCTGTCGCTAGTCTGTAATTTTGCACCTTGATTCTCAGGAAGAGGCCTAGGGGAATTAAAGGTGCAGGTATTGGCTCGATCAGTTCTAGTCCCAGACTTCTACGCAATTTATTATTATTATTATTAATTTTTTACTAAATCTCAGCGTCTGCCACTTTTTTTTTAATGTCAAAGAATAAATAGTAAAAAGTAAAACAGAACACAGACAGTTGAAAATTCTGGTTAGTTTTTGTTCTAGATAAACTCAATCTTTGACATAATTATAGGTACCCCAGAAGGATCTGGAGTACTACTGTGACGTGATATGGGAATGTCATGTGAGAGTGTGTATTTAACCCTCTAGGGTAAGTAAGAGTTTCATGTGATTCGTCTTCTTTTCCACTGTTTAGGGGTCACCACAAGGTGCTGGACCTTACTACGAAAACCATGGATATCAACCGGAAAACCTCTACGCCCGACAGCCCCCCGTGGCTCCCAGCGTCTACCCTGCGTATCCGGTTCAGTACTACCCGGCCCCGGTTCCCCAGTACGCCCCGAGGGTTATAACCAACGATTCGACTCTCGCCATCCACACGCAGCCCAAATCCCCGTCGAGAACTGTGTGCACCTCAAGTAGGGCCCTCTTTGTGTTTATTTCCTATCACGACCCTGAGCTCCTGGGTCTGTCTTCCCGCGTGGGCTCTCTGCTCCCACCACCTCTGTCACCGGCTATCCTGGCCTGATCCTGCCCCTCTGTCTGCTGGAGCCCGTCTGTCTCAAGGTGGCTTTTCCTTCTCCTCCTGCTGGGTCAGAGCTGTCGCCGCCAGGTGTCCCTCCTGCCCAGGGCTTCTCCGGGGCCTCCGCTCTGCAAGACCTCCGTGTTCTGTTAACTCTCCCATGCAGCTCTGCTTTCCACACGGGCCTCTCTGTGTCGTTTCCTGCCTATGTGGCTTGTCGATGCTCCTCCTGAATAAATGGTAAGCTCCCAAGGGCAGAGATGAACTGTCCTGCCTTCCTTTGCTGTGTGTTCCCTGAACACAGCGGGTCATGTTTAGATGCTCCATGTTATTTTGTGTTCGAGGCATGACGTGGCTGGTGTGGTTGTGGCACAGAAGTATCTGTGACATCTCACCAGGCTTCATGGTCCTGTAGACAGCCCGAGCGGGGGTGGGGGTTTCTTTGCTGTCCCTTCTACCCAGTCTCTTTCTTGCCCGCCCTCATTCGTCACCTTTCTTTGCCATTTCATTTGTGTCCTGTCTCCCCGGACCCCTCCCCCGCCACCACCCCTCACCTTGTACCCCCTCCCAGGTTTTAATTCAGGCTCATTTCAGTGCTAAGACTTGCGAGGTGGAGCTAGTACAGCAACGACAGTACCAATGATCTGCTTGTTAATGTTTTTGTTTTATTTTGTGAAATTTGCATCCCTGTCTATGCAACTCACACAGTTGAAGGTTAATAAGGAAGTGGATTTCCATGTGCCACAGTGGATAGCAGTGCTCTGTGAAACTCTGTCTGCCCCTCCCAGACCTCTGTCTGCTCTTGACAAGGGCCGTGGCTCTGTTTCTGCCCTGCACTCGCCCCCTCACCCTTCACAGAGGGCTCTTCCGCCCCACTCCTCTTGCAACCTCCTGTCTCTCTGTCCCTGTGTTTCCTGCCCCGCCCTGATCCCTCCCTCCCATCATCCCTTCTCCTCCTCATTCTCTGCTTCTCTCTCCTCTTCATCCCGTGCCCCTGTGCCGCAGAGATGCCCGTCTTTGCACTGATGTCTTTCTGGAGGCGCTGGGTAGGTTGAGACCAGTGGTTCTCAATCAGGGGTGACTTTGATGCACACGGACATGTGGCAGCGTCTGGAGACAGTTCAGGTTTCATGAGTGGGGAAGGGTGCTTCTGGCTTCTCCCGGGTAGGTGCTGGGGCTGCAGCTAGACCTAACCCAGCAATGAGCAGCACAGACCCACGACAGAGAACTGTGAGGCCAAGATGTCAGCAGTGCCCAGGCTGAGAACGCCTGGTCAATTGCTTTCATAAGCAAAAGATATGACCTACGTGTGTGATTCTGGTTATAAAACTGCCCCATGAGCTCAAAAACAATTCAGTAATTTTACTGAACTTGCCTTGGCATTATTTTTAAGAACATGTTATTGGTGCATAATAAATAGAAAAGTATACATTTTGTAAGTGTAATGTTTGAACTATTTTCCAAGATATTTAGGTAGCACAAATTCAGAAGTTCCCCGTGGAAGTGTAAGGAACTTTTCTCTGGACTTAGTGTATCTATTTGCTTTGGTAACAGCCACAGAAGTTTTACATGTGCACAGGAATGAATACACATCTTAAAGTTTAGGCTTTGGAGAACGGAGGGTTAACAGTGTATCTGATGCAAACATCTGACTCTAGAAACCACTGTAGGACCTAGTCAACAACAGACTAAATGGGTAATGATTAAGGTAAATGAATAGTAAGTTGTAATTAAATTCCACAGTGGCACCAGGGCAAACCAGGGCCAAGTGAAGTCTGTACTGAGCACGCACTGATTACAAAATGTCTGTCCCCCCAAGGGTAAAACTGGGGGCTTCCCGCCAGAGCTGGGCAGATTGCCACACACTCAGTGCAAAGTTAAGGATGCCTGATTTAACAATCCTTACCTGGACAGGCAAGTTATCTTAGATAAAATGGCACACAGGGAAGTCACCTATTGAAGAAAATGACCTTGGTAATGGGTCAAAGAGGCCATTTGGAATTTCTACCGTGAACTGCACTGGCTCCCGCCTGCCACCTTAAGACACAGTCGTTGTAGCTGAGCTATGATGAAGTCGTGTGCTTGGGCAATTCTCAGACCAGTGGCCTCACCTGGGAGCCTGTTAGAAATGCAAATTCATGCCCGACCCCCACTGAATCAGAATGTCTGGTGATGGGAACCAGGTTCCCCAGGTAATCCTCAAGCCTGTTGCAGTTTGAGAAGGACTGCAGAATGATCAGAATGTGCTAACGAAATGAGACGCATGGCTGTGAGCCCTCTGCAGGGGGGGTCAGCTCTGGTCTCTCCAACTCCAGAAGCTGAGATTCTCACCCTGGTTGACTTCCGGAAGCACAGGTGTGCACGGGTGGGCAGCACCGGGCGGTCGCGCCACCTCTGCAGCCTTGGAGGGTCTGTTTAAGTGCCTTCTCCCTCTCTCTCCTCCACTTCTCCACCTTCCTTCCATGCAGGTCTCCCAGGAGCTCCCGGGCACAGGGCCGCTAGGGATCTGGGGCAGCAGGCACAGAGCTCTCCCTCCTCGGCCAGGAGTGGGCTGAGCCCAGTGTCGCTGGGCCAGATGTCTGACCCCGGAGTGCCTTCTGTGGCGTCTGGTGCTGTCTTCCGAACCTTGATGCAACTTTTGGCACACACCCTTTGGCCAACAATTCTATGTCTGTTTGTTTTGACTAGAGAAAATTGGTGACCTTTCCACATTCCTTTATTTTTAGCTGAAATGTGCCTAAACTCTGGGTCCAGTGTTTCTGCGCTCAGACCAAAGGGCCTCTGCCAGCATGTCGGGTAGAACTTACGGCAGAGATGGGAAGGTTCTAGAGCTGTCTCATACGGTAGCCGCTGGCCGCATGTGACTATTGAGCACTTGAATTTGCATCATTTTATTTAATTCCATCTAATTTTAATTAAAGTGCAGATAGCCACGTGTGGCTAGTGGCTGTCCAAACTGGACAGTGTGGATTGTTAAACACCCTTGAGTAAGACAATTTATTCTTCTGCCTTGAGTACCACTGGTAGGGTGATGATAGTTTGGGGGACATTATTATTATTTTGCTTATATTTGTAATTACCAAAATGAGATACTTTTCCTCTTTTAGCCCACTTTTCACATTAATCATCTCTGCCTATTTTAAGACTCTTTAGCGTGCTGTACTTTTTTTAAGAGGTTAACTTCGGGGCACTTTGCTTCAGATCATGGCTTTCTGCTTCTGTTTTCTAAAAAGCGTAAAGTTTAGTGCTATGGAACATGTAAAATCTCTCAGGACATGCTTTTTAAAATTAAAAGTCACATTTTTAAGGGCATACAAGATAATTATTTCTTAATATCGTATACTATAAAAACAGTGCATGGAATTTGAGAGCGTGACTTCTGACTCCGACCCAATGCTGTGTCCCCTCCTTCCTCCAGAGACCAAGAAAGCGCTGTGCATCACCGCGGCCCTGGGGGCCGTCCTCGTGGGAGGCGCGCTGGCCGCCGGCCTGGTCTGGAATTTCAGTAAGTGCCAGCGCCGGGCCCACTCGGGGCCGCGGCTCCTGCAGTCCCGCAGTCTGGGCACGTGTGGGCCGGGGAGGCCTTCAGGGCCCTCCCTGCAGTTTCTCTCCCGCAGAACAAGGCTGTCCTCTTCCTTCTCTTTGTTTGGTCACGGTGCTGCGCTGCGTGAGTAACGCTCTTGGCAGCAGCCAGTCTCGTCGTCCGGGTTGCTCTGTGTCCTCCCTCCTGATCTGTGGGTTGCCGAAGTCCCAAGCTCTTTCTGTAGTATTGACACACCGCAGGAGAAGGATTTAGAATTTGCCCAGCACTTTGGGTGCCAGGTGCCACCAGGCACTGTGAGCACAGGTTCCCCTGCCTTGGGGCCACACCTGGTCACCTGTGCCTCATGGCACAGCAGCGGCTGCGGGGGCCCGGCATGCCCCTCCCCTGCCACCTCCTGTAACTGAAGCCCGTGCCCTTCTGCTCAGCCGGGGGCGGTGCAGACTCGCTCCATTCGTGCGTCCCTGAAGTCACCTCTGTGTGGCGGAGAGGACGTGTGAGTGCTGTCCGAACCCAAACACTGAGCGGTCCTTCCCGTTGGCCCTGTGGAAGTGGCGCACCCCAGCCCTAAGTCCACGTACAGGTGCTGGTGGCAGGGACACATCTCCTCCTCATTAAAAACACGGGGGGGGAATGATTGCTTCTCGCTCGTGGGGCCAGAGAGTGGATGGGGCGACTCCGGGCGGGCTCCAGCCAGACGGGCGTCTCCCCGTTTCCTCTGCCAGTGGAGAGCAAGTGCGTGGACAACCAGATAGAGTGCGGCTCCTCCGGCACCTGCGTCAGCTCGGCTCACTGGTGCGACGGCGTATTGCACTGCCCCAGCGGGGAGGACGAGAACCAGTGCGGTGAGTGGGCCCCGCCTTGGGAAGGGACCGCTCTGCCCGGGGTGGGGGTGACCAGGCCAGGCCTGCGTCCAGCACGTGGACACATCACGTCACTGAATCCCGCCTCGAGGCTGAGCCCGGGGGCCCAGAGGGGCTGTGATCCTGGCGCCACGTAGCAGGTGAGGGCGCGCAGGTGGGCTCCCAGCTGCTGCTGCAGGACGCCAACTGAGACCAGCGAACTGTTTAAAATGGAAAGTGGGGGATGCACCGTGTCACCTCCCAAACATGCTGCCTTAAAGTTATATCGATTGTCACAGAGTGGGGCTTCTGTTTGCTTTTACTGTTTTCTATTGTTTATTTGCTTATTTTAATTGACCAGTAAACATTGCATATATTTATGGTGTACGACACGGTGCTTTGGTGTCTGCCTCGTGGAATGGCCACATCAGGCTGTTCACCATATGCATCACTTCATACACACACGTCTTATGTTGTGGTGAAAACACTTAAAATCTACTCTCTTAGCAATTTTCCAACATACGATACATTGTATTAACCGTGGTCACCATGACCTGATAGCTCTCTTGAACGCATTCCTCTCGCTTCACTGGAGTTTCGTGTCCTTTGACCAACATCTCAGTCCCCCGCCCGCCGCGGGGGTGCCCACTCTGCCGTCTGGTTTCTGCGAGTTTGGCTTTCTTGCACTCCACACGTGAGTGAGCATGTGCCTGTCTGTGCTTATTTCACGTGGCGCTGTGTCTTCCACGTTCAACCGTGTTGTCACAAATGACGGGATTCCCTTCCTCGTTAAGGCTGACCGGCGCTCCCTCGTGTGTGCACCGCAGTTTCTTTATCCGCTCCCCCCCTGGCGGGCACGGAGAATGGCGCCGTCTCCCAGCTATGCGACCAGTGCTGCCGTGAACACGGGGTGCGGGTGTCTCTTGAGCGTAGCTTCCTCGGGATACACGCAGGCGTGGGACTGCCGGACAACGTGGTGGTTCTGGTTTTAGCTTTTGAGGAACCTGCACGCTGTTTCCGTAGCGGCTGCGCTGTTTGCATTTCCCCCGATGGCGAGCCAGAGCTGCCCTTTGTCCACATCGCCAACACGCATCACCTTTGTCACCTTTGATCACAGCCATCCTAACAGGTATGAGGTGACATCTCATTGTGGGGTTGATTTCTATTTTTAGTTAATGTTTGAAGGCGGTTCCAAGGGTGGTGAGGTCGCTCTGACAGGGCGAATGGCACCTGCGCGTGAGAGCTGTGCTAGGAACCCCGGTCCCGGAGCTGAGCGCGCGGCGTGTTTGACCCGGCTCTGCAGCTGGCGCAGGGCGGCCTCTCGCTTCCTTCCCTTCCTCCCCCAGGACTTATTTTCCAACCACGACAACTCGTTCCAGGGCTGGGGACGCAGCACTGGGAGTGGCACGTGCGTTCACGTTTTGGTTCCCGCAAAGCACACTCTGACATGTTTACAGTAGAACTGTTTTTTCAAAAACATAGAAATTTCGGGATTGTAGAGTCAGAGGAATCACCAGCTCTCCCCGCCTCCCATCAAGTGCACTCCCAACTTCTTGGGGTTCTCTTCTCCCTCCCCTCCCCTCCCCTTCCCTTAGAGTTTCGCTCTGTCACCCAGGCTGGAGTGCAGTGGCGTCATCATAGCTCACAGCAGCCTCAAACTCCTGGACTCAAGCGATCCTCCTGCCTCAGCCTCACGAGCAGCTGAGGAGCTGGGACTATGGGTGCAGCACCCCACCTGGCTAATTTTTCTGTTTTTAGTAGAGACGGGGTCTCACTCTTGCTCAGATTGGTCTCTGAACTCCTGAGCTCAAGCGATCCTCCCGCCTCGGCCTCCCAGACTGCTAGGATTACAGGCGTGAGCCACCACGCCCGGCCTTGGGGTTTTCTTTAAAAACCACAAACCTCAGAGCTGGCTGAGAACACGAGAAAAAGGCAGTTTTCCACTTTATAGCAAACTTTCCTCTCCTAAGGGCCGCCCTGGGTGGGGATTGGTTTCCTGTTCCATCCTTACTGTCGGGTCCCAGCCACCTGTGTGAGACGTGCTGTTGGTCCTGGCTTTGGAATTGCCAGGGAGGAGGAAGGGTCCCCAGAGCTCGGTCCTGTGCCCACCGTGAGCAGCTGCACGTGGGCTCTCAATGCCTGCGTCCTGCCCTGAGAGCTGCCCCAGCGCAGCCTGGCTCCCAGAGGAGGGTTTGCACTTGGAAGTGACTCGTCATTGTTTAAAGTAGTCCTTTTGCTTTATTTTGGTGAGAATATATTCGTCACCATTTTCTTAAATAAAGTAGGGAGTTTTTAGGTTGAGTCGTGTGGTTAAGATAGTGATGTTTTCCTACGCACTTGTGAGCGGGTGTATAAACTCCAGCAGGGGTTCAAGTCCCGTGTGCCCTGATGTTCTCTTTCTTCCTAATATTTAAGTTGTATTTATTTAAATACCTTAACAGTTATACACCCAAATAAATTAAAATCCAAGAACAACAAAAAGGTACGCAATGAAAACTCTCCTCTCCGTCACTCTGCTCACGCACACACACACACACACACACACACAAGCACATGCATGCCCCACCCCACACATATACACCACACACACACAGCCCCTGTCAGCCCCTACCCCCACCCCATGCGCACACACCACACACATACACGCCCAGCTTTTCACCAACCAATCATGTTTCTTTCTCAGGGGCAACTAACATGAGTTGCTTCTCCTTCCAGAGAATTTTTGCATAAAAAAGGCAAATATGTGCATTCTTAATGCCCCCATTTCACTGTTTTACTATCCAGCTGATCTTCAGCACTGGCTGACACCCTGAAAATCAGTTCCTGTGGAGACATGAGCTCCTCTTCCTTTCCCCGCTGTGGCACTGTTACTGCGCCGTTCCCTTCCTGGGGGACATGTAGGATCTTTCCACCTTTGGCTACAAGATGCAACGCTCCAAGCATGCGAACGCTCAGTAGGAAAGGCTCCCAGCAGTAAAATTGCTGGGTCAGAGGGTTTAGGAATCTGTAATTTGATAGACCCTCCTCAATTTGGTTTTATCCAATTTCCACATTGATTATTCGTATAGAAGAAAACAGAAGAGCAATGACATTGTGTGTGTTTTCTATTATATATTAAAATAGGCATGTGGAGTGCTTTTAATTTGTCGGCCTTGTAGAATGGAAATTATAAAGAATGTTGCCCGTGCGTAGAAAACATTCAGGAATGTGTGCGGAGCTTTCTTTCCAAGGGTGTGTGTGTGTGTTTGTGTGTATTTTAACATCAGTGCCTTTTCTACGTCTATTGCTATCTTTTCTGTGTCGTTCTCAAAATCTCAAAAGAGAAACAAAAGAACTGACTCTAGTTAACAATACTGCACTGTGTACTTGAACTCTGCCAACAGGGTAGTTCTTAAGTATTCTCACCACAAAAAAGAGAAAATCTACCAAGAAGAAAACGGTAACTATGTGAGGTGACGTATATGTTAATCAGCTCGATTGTGGTGGGCAGTTCATGATGGACATATATCGAACCTCCTAAACATGTACAATTTTTATTTGTCAACTCTACCTTGATAAAGCCTGAAAAAATTCTTAATGCCGACCAAAAAAAAAAAAAAAAAGAACTGCTTGAGACCATTTCCAGCTCTCTGTGTGGCCAGGTGCCATCTCTTCCTAGTTGACATTTGAATGCAGATAGTTGGAAGGAAAAAAAAATCTCTAAAATTATCTACAAACCAAGAATGAAATGTCTACCTTACTCTCTACCATGTCACGGTGGCAGTTTTATTTTTAATTGTGGAAGCGTATTTAATTTCAGTTCCTTTAAAAAAATTAACATACAATATTTTTTAGAGTAGTTTTAGGTTTACAGAAAATTGAACGGATAGTGCGGAGTTCCACGTACCCGTCCCTGCACACAGTAACGTCTCGAATTAGAGTGTGTGGCATGTTCATTACAACTGAAGAAACAGTTGAATACATTGTTATTAACTAAAGCCCTCAGTCTACGTTCAAACTCGCTCTGTCTGTTGTCCGGTTCTGTGGGTTTTGACAAATGCATGATGTTGTATACCCGCTGCTATGATGTCATATAGCACAGTTCCACTGCCTTCAGATCTCTCGTGCACCTGTTTCTCCCGCTGGCCTTGGCTAGCAAGGATCTTTCTACTGCCTCCCTAGTTTTGCCCTTTGCAGAATGTCCTGGAGTTGCAATTATGGAGTATGTAGCTTCTTTCACTTAGTAATGAGCGTTTAAAGTTCCTGCAGGTCTTTTCGTGGCTTAAAGTGCATTTCTCTTTAGCACCGAATAATATTCCATTGTCTGGTGGTAGCAGTTTGTTTATCCATTCATGTAAGCCGTGGCCAGTCACACGTGGTATTGGACTCACTCATCACTGAAGCATTAGAAAATAATCAGACGTGTCCCATCATGGCCTGGAGGAAGGAGCCCACAGGTGTCAGGCTGTCCAGTGAGTCAGGGCCACGGCAGCAGGGGAGAAGTGAGGCGGAAGCATAACCAGGTCCTCGTTTTATGCGTTAAGCCACGTGTATCCGCCCAGACCACACAGCACTGTTTACGTGCTCTGGGCTTTGCATGAGTAAGTCACACCGAACACGTCATCTGGCAGCTCGCTCTCCTACGCAGCGCCGTTTTCAAGATCGTTCCTCTGAGTCCGCGATGCCCCGTAGGCTCCTGTTCTGTGACCATGCCACACGCGATGTATTCTCCTCCCCAACACAAAGTTCTCAAAATTGTGGGATGCGGTTACCTCTGGGGAGAGAGGGAAGGGATTCACATAGGGAGGAGCTTCAACTGTGTTTATAATGTCTTGTTTCTTTGAATAAAAGAGCTGAGGTCGTTTTGGCAAAACATACATTGCTTTAGAGGCATTTCGTGTCCCCGCAGTACCAGGGGACTCGGCGCGTCTCTGGGCCCTCCGCCGAGGTCCAGGATTTGGACGAGAGGAGGTCGACTTGTTGCTCAAAGTGATTGCTTAAAGAACGCTTTTGAAAAAGCCTTTTATCTTATTTATTTTTAAAAACAGCTTTATTGAGATATAATTCATATATCATAAAATTTATCCTTTTAAAGTAAATTTGGTGGTTTTTATATATTCACTGCAGTCAGTTTTGGAATATTTTCTTCATCTCATAAAGAAACCCCACATCCTTGAGCTCTTACCCCATATCTGTCCCCGTCCCCCCCGTCCTAAGCACCGACTGACCTTTCTGTCTGTGGATTTCCCGCTCCAGACACGTCCCACATGTGGGATCGTGCACTATGTGGGCCTTCGCGGCCGGCTCCCTTCACTGCGCACGATGCCGTCCGGGGTCACCGTGCAGCATGGTCAGAACTTCACTCCCTTCCGTGGCCGGGCGATGGTCTGTTGTGCATTTTGGATGCACCACACTTCGCTCCCTCATCCCTTGGTGGACGTTTGGGTTGTTTCCGCCTTTCGCCTCCCATGAATAGTGTTGCAATGACATTTGTGCAAGTTCGTGTCTGACTACCTGTTTTCAATTTTTTGTGTAAAGAGTCCATTTTTGAAGGGAAAACAGACTGGTGGCCTCCCTGTGTGCGGTCAGTGCCTTGAGAAGAGTGAACTGCACGTTGCCCCCGTGTGCAGAGCCTTGGTGTCCCGGGGGAGCGTGGGGTCCGCTGGTGGTTAGGACAACACAGGAAGGGACAAGTGCACGAAACTCACGGAGAATCTTCCTTCTTGTGCAGTTCGCCTCTACGGACCGAACTTCATCCTTCAGGTTTACTCATCGGAGAGGAAGTCCTGGCACCCCGTGTGCCAAGACAACTGGAGCGAGAGCTATGGGCAGGCAGCGTGCGAGGACCTGGGCTACAAGTGAGTACGGGCCTGCAGCCTGTAGGGGGGCGGCACGTCACGGTGACGGTGACGGCAGAAACACCAGAGAGATGCTCTTATTGCCTCCCGGTGGAAGCGCTAGCACGCAAATGCTGGGGACAGCTGTCCCCTTCCATAACTGGTCCCTGTAACCAGCAGGGAGAATTTGTTCTGCCGGAGCTGTGCCTGGCACATCGGCCCATGTCTGCTGACCATGGCTCACTGCCACCCTGCCCCGAGTCCCCCTTGGCCTCTAGAGACTCCTGGTTGCTCGGGAACACCCAGTGCCATGGTCACGGGTCAGGGGGTCAGGGGTGCAGGCTGGAGGTATTGGGGGCTCTTTTTCGTTTCTTTTTTTTTTTTTTTTTGAGTCAGTCTCTCTCTGTCGCCTGGGTTAGAGTGCAGTAGCTCACTGCAGACTCAAACTCCTGGGCTCAAGTAACCTTCCTGCCTCAGCCTCCCGAGTAGCTGGGACTACAGGCATGCGCCACCATGCCAGATAATTTTTCTATTTTTAGTAGAGACGGGGTCTCGCTCTTGCTCAGATTGGTCTTGAACTCCTGGCCTCAAGCGATCCTCCTGCTTCAGCCCCCACAGAGTGTTGGGATCCCAGGTGTGAATCTGGGGGGCTGGTGGCTCTTTTTCTGAGGTGCCTCTCAGCCTGGGCTGACCCCTTTGCCGCGCTGGGGGAGGGGAGCTGGGACTGGGGCAGAGGAGAGGAGGGCTGGTTGGGAGATCGGGGTGGCGGGGAAAAGTCCTGTGCTGCCTTCACTGCATTTGGGAGCCACTGAAGGCTTTTGAACAGGGGAGAGAATTGATCCGATTTATCCTTTAAAAAATTCATTCCTGCTTGCAGCTTGGAGGAAAGGTGGGCAGAGTTAAGAGGGAGTGTTCCTGGCAGGCTCGTGGGCATTGCTTAGGTAGACTGCAGCCCTCAGGCACTGGGAGAAAGGGTCATATTATCACTCCTCTTCTAGGGGTCTCTCCGTGTGATACCTGTGCAATTTTTGGGATTCTATATACATTTTCAAAATGAATTCCCACTTGGTAGGGAGTTGGCGTCTTAGCTGGTGAAATGCTGCACGATGCCGGCCCTCAACCGCAGGGTCGGATTACGTAGCGAAGCTTCCCTCTCAGTTCAGGAGGCTGCTGGAATTTTATAAGTGGGGACATTTTAATATCTGTACATTAGATTATAGGTATGTGTGATTACATACTTATACATCCTTCTTCTCATCATTTCTTTGTTCTGACCCAAACTAGATTGGAAATCTGACACTTCATGGTTATTGGATCAAAAATAGTTATAATTCAGTGTCACTTGGTTAGAACGTGTGATTTTGTTTTCCAAAATGCTAAGGTTTTTCCTCCTGTCCTGAACATCATACAAGAGAGGTATTACCATCTAGCTTAGGAATTATGCTTGCATATGACCTAACCATTATTGTAAATAAGATTTTCCATCTTTTTTAGGGATAGTTATTATTCTAGCCAAGGAATAGCAGATGACAGCGGGGCCACAAGCTTTATGAAACTGAACACAAGTGCCGGCAATGTCGATATCTATAAAAAACTGTACCACAGGTATGTGGCGATTTCTTTTTCTCTTTGAAAAATTGTGTAAGGAGACCTACTAGGAGGTCCCACAGGAATCTCGTCCTGAGTCTGATTTTTCCGAGCTGCAAGTGTGATCTGGGGAGTTTGGCGCTGGGCGGAGACTGGAGCCCGACCGGGACCGGTGACTCTGTGCAGATCTGGGTTTACTTGCAGGAAGTGGATTTGGTGGATTTGGCATTTTGTTCTCAGTTGCCGTCTGCCCTCGTTGGGGGAAAACATCGCAAACTTGAGAACCATCTTTATTTATTTCTCTTCCATCTCTGGACACTAGGGATGTACCTGCTATGTCAGGGTGTGGCCCTCGGAACCCAAGAGAACATCTCGGGCCCCACCTGGGGTGACCAGCTCATCCTGGCTTGCCGGGGACTTTGCTGGTTTCAGCACTGCAAGACTGCTTCCCAGGAATCCGCTCCATTCCAGGCAGCTGGGATGGGTGGTCCCCGGAGTCCCAACCCACGAGCGGCAGTGTCAGAGGCCATGCCAGGGGTGCGCAGCGTTTGGGGGGCCTGGGAGTGAGTGGCTAGTGCGATTCGGCAAACTTTTCCTACGCCTCGAAGCTGACTTTTGGTCCTGGGCAGGTCACAGTATGTCCAGTGGGTGGGAATAAACCCAAGCCAAGGTCACGTGATTGCTGGCTGAACTGGCCAGGAGGGTGGAAGAGGGGCTGGACCTAGGCTACTCATTCTGCTCTGCACGTGTTTAAAATGTCTGCAGTCTTCCTAGAGCGTTGCCATTACCTGAGTGGTTTCCAATGTCAAAGACACACAGTGTCCTTTGTGCCGGAGCTTCCTCACCTCCCAGGTCTGGGTGCTCATCCCCAGGTGCTGGCACACCTTCCTGCTGGCCAGGGGCCAGGTGCGCCTCTTAGCACCGCCCCACCTTTCCTCTGAGTGGGCGGCTGGGGGCAGGTTTGCATTCCTGGTGGCTGCGGCTGAGGTGTCTGAGGGGCTGACTTCCGCAGCCTGGCTCTCCCTGGGAATGCGACAGGACCAGCCAGGTGTACCCATCCAAACAGCCGGGCTGTGGTCTGCCTGCTGAGAAGCTAAGCACGGCTGCCTGGGCGCTTTACAAATGCAGAGTGGCTCTTTGTCTTCCTTGGTTGCAGGACATGGGGGCGGGGGAGGGGGAGGGGAGGCTGCCACCCTTGGCAGGAGCCTTGGGAACACAGGGTGGCTGGAGGGTTTGGAAGAAAGAAGAGAAGGTCATTGTCTGGTATTGGGCTACGTGGCAGGCGGTGGGGGGGACTTCCTCTTTTCCTTCTGGAGTTGCCCTTTGATACTGAGGCCCCAGGCTGCGGTGAAAACTGGGGGGTGTCGGATATGCTGGTGGCTACGCAGTGTGGACCTTAGGATTCTTAGAAAACATCTTCTTTTAAAGGGAGCTCGTCTTTGCTTGGCATTGGCAGTGCCTCGGAGCCGAAGTCCACCAGGAACACATCTGTAGTCACCGGGGGACCTGCGGTGTCTCAGTAACAGGGTGTCAGGAAGGACCTGTTGTAGGACCTGGGCTCGTGTTAGGTAGTTTGGGAGAGGTTCAAGGAAGTGGGGCTTTGCTGGGGTTACACACTGTCCGGAAACGGCGGTAATTCGGTAATTCTGTGGTCGCTGCCGTATTTTTTTTTCTAGAAGGCGGTTGGAATGAAGCCAGGCTGAGGCTGTGGGTGGTAAAGAAGCGTCTGTCTGTCACTCAAGTTGGCCGGGATGGGACAGGATGGGAGACTTTTGGGCAAGGTTCCTCTCTGCCTGTTCAGGCGCGATTTCAGAGCAGGCCTGTTTGTGTCTTGCTCATCTCGGTTGCAGCGTGGCCTCGGCTGATGTTGACGCTCGGTGCCGTGGTTTGTGCTCCGTAGAACACACGGCCAGCCGCCCGTGCCAGGCCAGCTCTGCGTGCCCGGGCTGCCTCTTAGCTTCTCAGGACGCAGGGGAAATCCACCGTAGGACCGAGTGCATCAGTTACTCCTCTTGCATCCCTGACCTGGGATGTCTGGCTCCCAAATGAATAACTCGCATTTTTCCTCTGCGCCCAGGCAAATTGTCGGTCATGTTGCTTTCCATGCCGTAAATGTAAAGCAGTCAAGTTTCCAGATGCTTACAAAATTAGAGGATGATTTTACGTTCCAAGAATAAAAATAAAAACTAACCTTATTGCATGCCTACCCTCACAAGCACCCTATGAGTTGGTACAATTATGATCCCATTTTACTGATGGGGGAAAGTAGGCACAGAGAGGTTAAGTAACTTGCCCAAGGCCACACAGCTGGGATTTAGCTGGGAACTTTAACCCGGTGTCTGCCCTTTGCCACTGCCCCGTGTAGATCTGCTCACCTCGCTGGAGTCTTGGTAGTGGCTCCTTCCCTGTCTGGGAGACAGGAGAGAGCGCTGGAAACGAATATCCACTTCTGGGTATTTGTGAGTTGGGCATCTCCTCGTTTGTTATATTGACCAGACTTTCCCCTCTTCCCGCCCAGTGACTCCTGTCCTTCAAAAGCCGTGGTGTCTTTGCGCTGCATCGGTGAGTGCCGCTCCACCTCCCTGCTAACATCTCTGGGAAGCAATCTTCGCCTCGGGGAGGTGTCCCTCTGTGTCCTTGGGGTGTGCTGAGGGAAGAACGTGCCCGGGGCCTCTGCTCTGTCCGAGGAGCTCCTGTTTACGTTCCGATGCGCTCTCAAGGCCTTCACTCGGGTCCCAGAGGCGTCTGCTGAGGACAGGCCGGCTCGAGACACGGACAAGGCCCTGTTCTTTGTGCCCCTGGGCTGGGGGCCTGGTGGGGCTCCTTCCCCAGGAAGTGACCGGGTGGCTCAGCCAGCCCTGGACGCTGCCCTGTGGTGGACTTGAACCAACATCCAGGTGTGACCACCTGGTGCTTAGCCGCTGCCAGATGTGAGGGGGCAGGGGGAGGGGTGAGCGAGGGGGGAGGGGTGAGTGATGACCCCTCACTCACCCTTCACTCACCCAGCCCCTCAGTTACCCCTCACTCCAATGCTCCCTCACCCCCTCACTTCCTCCCTTACCCCCTCACTTCCTCCCTTACTCATCCCCTCACCCCGTCCCTTACTCGCCCCTTCACCCCCTAACCCCTCACCCCTTCACCCCTCACCCCCTCACCCCTTCGCCCCCTTACTCCCTCGCCCCTCCCTCACTGCTTACTCACTCGCTCCCAGCCTGGCCCCCCATCTTCCTTTTCTGTAGCGAGGAATCTTGGGGGCACCATCGGTGTCTCCAGGACCCGCCCCCCGGGTAGCGGGAGACCCCGCAGAGTCTCGGAGTGCCTGCAGGGCCTGGGCGGCTGCAGGAGTGGCCTTGCCCAGCCAGTCCTCCCAGTCAGGCTCCAGCAAAGGGGATGCGAGGCCCAGCAGCCCAGCAGCCCGGGAGCCCTGGGGAGGGTGGCACCCTGGTGGCACCTGGGCGGGGCTGGGTGTGTCACTGTGGCTCGTTGCTGGTCTCAGGGGCCCGCTGGCCTTTGCTTGTCGCCCTCAGAGTGCGGGACCACCTCGAACGTGAGCCGCCAGAGCAGGATCGTGGGGGGCTCGGGCGCCGCCCTGGGGGACTGGCCCTGGCAGGTGAGCCTGCACGTGCAGAACGTCCACGTGTGCGGAGGCTCCATCATCACGGCCGAGTGGATCGTGACGGCCGCCCACTGCGTGGAACAGTAGGTCCTCCTGTGCGGCCGGTGGGGGCGGCGGGGGCTGGGGCCCCCCCTGCTGCCCTGTGACCTTTCGAAGCCCCAGGGTCTTTGTGCACAAATGGGGGAGTAAAGGCACCTGCTCGGGCACCGCTGGGAGGCCGGGCGAGCCGACACCCGGATGTGAGGCCACATCCATCCCTCAGCAGTGTGTCCCGAGCGTGCCCTGCACACGGGGCGCGGGGCGCTGGCGTGCGGCCTGGCGGGAAGTGCCTAGCGGTACTGCTGCGACCAGGGCTCCTTCTGCCGGCTCTGTCCTGCCCCTGCGAGAAACCCTCGTCCCCTTGAGAGCTTCTCTCTCCTGGCTGCTGGTCCTGGGAGAGGGCATGCTCAGACACGCCAGGGACTTCACGCTGTCCTGCTGGAAGGTTCTTTGGGGCTAAGCATCCTCGGCCATGGCATTGTCCATGCAGACGGTTAGGGCGCGGTGAGGGTGGCTGCGACTCATAGTGGTAGCTTTTGTGGGAGATACATCTCTCCTCTGCCTTTTGCTTAAACACGTAGTTTTTTGGGTCACATGCCTGGTTTTGAGGAAGGCTCACTCAGCAGACCTGCTTTTCTGCCAGATGTGAGGGAGGGGGGAGGAGGGAGAGGGAAGGGGAGAGTGAGGGAGGGGCTGAGGGGGTGAGCGATGACCCCTCACTCACCCCTCACTCACCCAGACCCTCAGTTACCCCTGCCTTGGAGAGGCTCAGCCTGGCGTGACTCCTGGCCCAGCCACTGACGGCTCTGTGGAGGTGGAGGGTGCACAGGTCACCACCGAAGAGAGTCCCCTCTTCCTTCCCTTCACACCTCGGGCCCAGCATCCTTTAGCAGTCGGGATTCTCTTAAAAGGGAAACACCTAGGTAAAGGGAACACTTCGACTGATACTAGCCCTCGAGCCTGTTCATCGGTACACATTTATTAAGCATCTACTGTGCGCCAGGAAATGCTCTGGTGTATAAACACAGGGAGGACCCAGTCCTGCTAGAAATGGTATTTGAAACGTCAGGGGCGGTCTTGGCCCAATTTGTAGGCTGGTGCAGGGGAACCAGGAGGAGGAGCAGGTTCTTCAAGGTGCAAAAAGAGCACAAAGAGGGCAGGGGTGGGGCGGACGGGGCCCCTGTGCCAGAGCCTGGCCGGATGGCTTTGGCGCCTCCCCTCAGCTCTGGGGATCTGGGCTCCAGCTCACATTTTTGAAGTTCATCAGTTGAGCGTTTTGTGTCTGTGGCTCTGAGATGCTGAGCGTTGCTCATCCATATCTCCCAGACCTCTGGACAACGCACGGTACTGGACGGTGTACGCAGGCATTCTGAGACAGTCTTTCATGTTCTATGGAAGTGGAAACCAAGTGGAAAAAGTGATTTCTCATCCAAATTATGATTCCAAGACCAAGAACAATGACATTGCACTTATGAAGTTGCAGACGCCTCTGACTTTTAATGGTACGTGTGGCTCTGTGATGCGCGACTTGGCCAGATCTTAAGGAAATGTCGACTGGGGATAAAACCCGTGCTGAGCTAAATGGAAGGGCGGCATGTGCGTGGCGTGATGGTGGCGCGCGGCGGGTGGCCAGCTGAAGAGGCGTGTGGAGGGAGGCGCAGCCCCATGTCTGCTCTCCACCGTGTGGTGATGACAGCTCAAGCCACAGGCAAAATCTAGAATGCGGGCTCTCCGCCGCGGCGCTCTTGATGTTGGGGCCGGGCAGTTCTTCGCGGAGGGCTGTCCTGGGCGTGGCAGGACATGCAGCCACATCGCTGGCCTCTGCCACTGGATGGCTCAGTGGCTCCCGTAGCTGTGACAAGCAAAGTTGTCTCCAGACATTGCCAGATGTCCCCTGAGTGGCAAAGATGCCTCCAGTTGACCACGACTGGTCTATCATTTGTAAAGATAATTTATTTATTTTTTAAATATACATTCTGAAAGCAAAATGATTAATTTAAAACAAATGTGCTTTCCCTTACCTTCTTATTCGGCCACTGCCCTGGTCTGTCCCAGGGTCCAGGAGGCCCTAGCCCCATGTGGGTATAGAAGCCAAACCTTGCCCCTACCGAGCTGTTTGTATTTACGTCGGCAAACGGTTCAGGCAGAGACGAGCCAAAGCTCGAGGGACAAGCTGGTGCCACTGGCTTTTTGGCCATTGACCCCCAAGTGTCTCTCCCACCCTCTGTCACTCAGAGACATCGTGAATTTTTAGAAGCAGAGCTAGCAAATAATCCCACTTATAAGTAGCATGAGCTCTTGCCTGCTGGAAGGAGGGCTGGAGGGGCAGAAGTGACAGTGCCATGACACACGGGGGTCCTGGGTCCTCCGGGCAGGGTGGCGGTGGTGCCAGGCCCAGCGGGTTGCTGGTGGGGAAGGGCCAGGCGGAGACCATGACTGAGGCCTTCAGTGAGACCGGCCTGGCTCACGGTGTTTTCTCCTCCTGAAACAGACAGAGTGAAGCCAGTGTGCCTGCCCAACCCGGGCTTGATGCTGGCGCTGAACCAGTCCTGCTGGATTTCCGGGTGGGGGGCCACGGAGGAGAAAGGTAAGGCCACGACAGAATGCCGGGTTTGGAAGTGGGAGGTCCGGGTTTTATCCTGGTTCTCCTACTCAATGACTGGATAACTTTGGGCAATTCCCCAGTCCTTATGCCTCAATTTCTCCACCTGCTACATGGGAAAACTGGTACCCACCCTCCTTGGCACACTGCATTCTCACTAAGATCAAACGGAGCAATGTGTGGGAACAGCTTTTTGAAGCATAAGGGCCACATAAATGTGAGAGGTATAGTGTCCCCCGTGTTTGTGCCCTCCGTAACTAAGGGCAACCTGGAAGTCCCACTAGGTCCTTCTGTGGCTGAGTGACAGTGGGCTTGGCGAGGGTGGGCCCCTGTCACCTGTCGTGGCCACCTGTACTCCACCGAAGCCTTTGTCCTTCTGCGGTGGCAGACAGGAGCAGGAACCGGACTGCTGCGTGGGCTGCCCGCCCCGCTGGCTGTAACTTGCCCTCCGCCCAGGGAGGGTTTCCAATGAAGGGAGCCGGCTGTTTTGTACGTACAGAGGGTTGCAAGCGCTTAGTGGTACAAAGGTCCATCTTATATATTGTTTGCATCCTTCTAAGAAGCATTTAGACCACATGTAAAACAAACCTTTTAAAACAAGGGAAAAGGTACAAGGGTTGGGTGATTTAGGGGGTTACTGGGGAGAGTTGGGGGCCGCCCTGGCATCTTGTCTGCAGGAAGGTACAGCAGGTGGGCTGCACAGCCGGGCACGGCCTCGTGGCGTCTACGACCAAAGGGAGCATCAGGAAATATTAGCGGCACACCTAGTACGGGCTGGGTGCTGCTTGGGTGCTGGGAATGCAGCACTGAACAGAACAGACAGACATTCTGCCCTTGGGGACGTCACGTCACCAGTGGTGTCCGGGCAGGCGTGGTCAGACAGCCAGGGAGACAACTGAACCAGGTGCTTCCAGATGGCGGAGGGCGGTGATAGCACGGGACCAGCTCTTTTGAAGGGGTGATCAGAGAAGGCTTCTTGGAAGAGGTGGCGTTTGAGCCTGAATTTGACCTGAATGGCAAGCATGGGGAAGAACAGCAGGGCCAGTAATCAGGGGGTCCAGGACGCGGGCTCGGGCCAGATTACGTAGGCTCACAGGCTATGGTGAGGACACCGGCTTCTCTTCCACGCGAGACAGGGAGTCTTACATAGGGCAGTGCCGTGATCTGACACTGTGTGGGGCATCACGGGAAGGGAGGGGCAAGAGGAGGTGAGGATGATGGTGACAAGGCCATTGCCGTGGTCCCCTGGGACATGATGATGGCTCAGAGCAAGGTGGGGCGTGGATGTGGAGAGACGAGGGTGCCTTTGGGCTAGAGCCAGCAGCCTTGTTGCTGGGCTGAATGTCAGCAGGGGAGAGTGAGAAGTCAGTGGCAGGAGGTGGCTTCCTGCCGTGTGGCCGGAGCCTCAGGGCTGGTGGCGCCAATCCCAAGCCAGGGAGATCGGGGGGTAAGAATTTGGGTGGGGAGGTGTGACGCGGGGCTCTGTCTTTGCACGCTAAGCCCGCGGTGCTCGGAAGACACGCCCGTGGCGGTGGAAGGTGGGGGGAGGCAGAGACAGCAGGTGCGGGCCGTGTCCCGGAAGCTCTAACACCCAGGGAGCCGAGAGGCGGCAGTCTGGCAGGTTGTGTGGGCTCACGAGTCCCCACGTGTCTGGGAACAGTCCGGTGAGGAGCAGGTGGCGAATGGGGAAAATCGGTTCCGGGGATGATCCCAGACACTAAGGGAGTCCTGTGGCTCCAGAGGTAGAAAGTTCTCTTCCCTGAAGCTGGACCCCAGCTCTGCCTTCGACCCGGGCCAGCAAGGACAGTCCAGGTTCCCCAGGAGGGGGCCTGGTGGCCTGGTGTCAGGAAGGGCGCAGGGAGGGAGGAGAGAGGGACGTAGGCACGTGACCATGTACAGCGCCTGTGGTGGTCCTGGGGAGGGGAAGCCACGCTTCTGGGAGAGCTGCTGGCAGCACCGAGAGCTCCACGAATCGCCCTGTCCTTAGGGAAGACCTCAGACACGCTGAACGCGGCCATGGTGCAGCTCATCGAGCCCTCGACGTGCAACAGCAAATACGTCTACAATAACCTGGTCACGTCAGCCATGATCTGTGCAGGGTATCTGCAGGGGACTGTCGATTCCTGCCAGGTAATTGCAGCTTTCCGTGCAACCTTTGGGCCTTCCCAGCTCCTGTGGATTCACCTGGGAGAGACAGGGCTTCCCCAGGCCATTGGAGCCTCTCTGGCGACACGCAGCCCGCTCAGGGGCAGCCGTGGGAAGTGACGCTGTTAATAGCGTGAAAGCTTCGGGTGGCAGAAGCAAGTGCTACCAAGGAATCCCGCATGCCGCGCTCCCTCTGGAAACTCATATTTGGTAAAAGTGTCACTGGAACGGAAATAAGTATTTTGACTATTTTAAACTACGAGCAGCAATTTATTTAGTAATTATTGGCTGGTATAGACTAAAATTCACGGCTGGCGTAGTCTCTTTTGGGGATGGTATCTCTGTTACCCTCACCCCTCCAGGCACGGCCAGTGATCGGGACTTGATTTTCTGCTCTTGGTAACTTGCTCTGTCCCCCAGGGTGACAGTGGAGGGCCTCTGGTCACTTCGAAGAACGGCGTCTGGTGGTTGATCGGGGACACCAGCTGGGGCTCCGGCTGTGCCCAGCCTAACAGACCAGGAGTGTACGGGAACGTGACAGTGTTCGCAGACTGGATTTATCGACAAATGAAGGTAACTTGCCCATCCTCCGTCAGACCGGGTCCCCTGATTCCTCGAGCCAAGCCAGAGCTCTGCTAGGCGTGGTTCCACGGCCAGAAGCTGGCCGCTGACAGCGGGAGCATGAAGCAAAGCCTGCCTCCCACGGCCAAGGGTCTGCCGTGAGGGTCCCCTTCCCCACGCCCCTGGTGCCTGCCCATCGCCGCTGACTGGCATCCTCTGCACGGTGCCCCTGGTGCGTGGATGACAAAGTCTGGGGCTCAGCTTGCAGGAATCTCTCTTGCACTCTGCTGGCTACACTTCGTCCTGGCTCTGCGACTCGCTTATCCCACCCAGCCGTCACCACACCAAGCCCTGGCGGTGGGCAGAGAGCAGAGGGCAGTGCTGTGCCCGTGCCGCAGCCTCTCTGGGGCTACCGAGTGGGCCTGGGCCGTCCCCAGCGCAGATGTGGAGAAGCAGCTGGAGTTCTGTGGCCCCCCAGACTCCGGTACAGGGAAGGTTGTGAAGGGAAGGACGACCCAGGTTCCCTGCAATGCTGCCCTCCGGGGTGCCCGGCCCGACTCGGACTGCTCATGGCAGCCCTGGCCTCGGGCACTGCCACCATCTGGGGAGACAACCAGATCTCCCGTCCCAGGGGCCTGGGGAACTGCGGTCTTCCCAGTTTCTGCATTGTCTAGGGCCAGGCTGCTGGTGAAAGAAAACCTGTTTTGTCTCCTCTCAAGTCTCCCAAGGTGTCCGGTCTGTTGCAGGAGAGGCAGAACCTGGGGGATGGCCCCATAAGGCCCGACCCGTGTCTCCCTCAAATGATACCCAGGGCCCAGGGCCTTCACAGGACTGTGGGCCGGCTGTCCTTGCCTGGCAGAGGGCACAGCACTGGAAATAGAAAACCCCAGCTGTCCTGCTGGGGGGTGGGGGATGGCAGGAGGGAAATTGGTGGGGCTGGAGGGGACCAGAGGGGACGGTCGGCCAGGCCAAGGTGGATTCTCTCCAGGATGGAGACAGAGAAGAGCAGGGTGTGCGTAGGGCCGCAGGTGGGTCAGCGTGGCCGGCCTGGGGACAGAAAGGGCTGAGGCAGGAGGGCGTCTGGGAGGAGGCCAGGGCTCTGCTAATGAAACACCAGGGTCAGTTCCCCGGACGTAGCCGTGTCCCAGCTGCACTGAGCCGCAGGCACCACTCACACCAGCCTGTGCCCCTCTGCACTGTCCACCCAGAGCCCCTGCCCCGCCGTCCCAGCCTGACTCTGGCCGACGGCGGGGAAAAACGATCCCTTTGTGCCATTAAACTGGCTTATTTGCTTTATAAGTGCTTCATGTCGATCTAGAGAGAAAACAATACTTTTCTACTTTTGTTTGTCTTAAGAAAATAACATTTGGTTTTTGTTTTTCTTTCCTGTTTGAACAGGCAGACAGCTAATCCTCGTGGCCTTTGTCCCTGACATCGTTGCACAAGAAAACGGAGGGGCTGGCTTTGATTCCCTGTGCATGATTTATTTTTAGAGATGATTCAAAGGTCCTTTCATTTTTATTAAATAGTGAACTTGCCTGACTTGGGCACTCTCTGCCATTCTGCGCAGGCTGCAGTGGCTCCCCTGGCCCTGGGCCCATTCCCTCTGACCCCTTGTCCAGAAGGGGTGACAGCCCGGCTGGGTGTGGGCACCAGCGGCCAGACACGGAGGAGTGGGGTGGAGACTGCCCTGTTGGGACCTTCCTTCGGAGCCCATTCCGGGGGCTGCTTTTGGGTGAGCAGGGAGCTGTCACCTCTCAGCTGCTGGACGGCTTGAGTTGGAAAAGGGGACAGACACCTGCATAGCCCCACGGCCTGGCTCTCCACAAGGGGTTTTTGGCAGTCATTTGTAGTGCCTTCTTAGCAGCCCCTGAGGGTGTCTACAAATACAGGGACCGGCCCTTCCTTCGTGGGTGGCGACGTGCTACTCACTTGTGAGGGCAAGAGAAACCTTCCTTTCCCCTCCTTGCGGGAGTGGGAGTGTAGACGGCCCGCGGTGCAAGGGAAGCGGCTACAGAGGCGGCTGCCGGTGCAGGTCTCCACCTGCATGTCCTGGGCTCCTCGGAGGAAGTCCCCACAGTCCCGCTCTGGCCCCCTTGCAGAGTGCGCACGACCCTTGGTCCTGGCAGTGGGGCCGAGCCGGGCACCACGCTGAGCCTCTCCACCCCCGAATCACTGGCAGTCGAGGTCTCCTGGGGCAATCAGGGGTGTGTGGTTTAGGATACGCTGTCTCCTTGTCACGTTTGTACGTGTTGCTACCTCAGTGCTGGGATCTTGGCTTCTGACGCCTCCAAGAAGTTCAGGCACTTGCTCTTTGAGACTGCTGTCGTCCTGACCAAGGACGTGCCGTGGTGCACTTGGGTGACCGTCGCAGAATGATGGGCTCCTGCCTTAACGCTCTGGAAACCAACGTGCTGAAGAAAAGAGCCCATGCTGGCGACGGAGAAGAGAAGGACATTTCGTTTTGGACTTCCCGTTGGCCCTTCCGACACCGAGGGTTCCGCAGGGGTGGGGGGGTCCCTCTCGTGTCACCAGATGTTTTGCCGTGAGCGCTACTCCACCGTGGTCCTGCCTCCTTTCCACACACACTGGTTTTCAAGAAGGAAATGAATGATTCTCCTGCTAGGACCTAACCTCGAAATAGAACCCCAGCCAGGGGACGCTTCTGTGCCACGCGCCTCTGGGAGCGGCGTCCCCAGGGGCCTGGGACAGCACCGCGAGGCGTCTGCTCCCCGAGCCAGATAGTACACAGCCTCGTAAGGTGACAACATCTCCCTCCTCTACTGTTCCTTTTTATTTATGTGACCAACAGTTTGTCTTCTCTTTTGTATCTTTTTTAAATTGTAAAATTCAATTGTGAAATTGAATATCATGCAAATAAATTATACGGTTTTTTCCACACGTATATCGCGTCTTCGGAGCTCTGCCTGGCGCTGGGCCAGCCCGCGCGTGCTCGTGAGGGCGGATGTGGAGGCCGCTCCGCGTGGCCGGGCGAGGGGTGCGCTGGCCAGAGCTCCCAGGCAGGGCCGGGCGCTCCTCCGGTTGGGCCCCTCGGCTCCGCAGCCTGTCCTGTTGGAGGTGTCCCTGGAGCGACTCCTAAGTGGGCATGGCCTGGGGCTCCTGGCCCCCCAGACTCAGACCCCGACAACCACTATCTTCCGGCCGACCTGCCCAGTGTCCCCACGTCCCCAGGGCAGCATGTCCGAGACAGTCCGCACCTGGTCCCTGCAGGTTTCTTCCTTGGGGAGGCCCTGTGAGTCCACGGCGGCAGAGACACTCCCTCACGTGGTTTCAGCCCAGTGCTCCGTGGTTGAGACGTGGGTGGGAGACAGACTGGGGGAGCTTTTCCCTGCTTGAGAACGGATCCCACCCTTTCTCCTGGCATCCCTCGATACCTGACGGGGATCGCAGGACATGACTGGCGATGGGCTTCATTACGTCAAAATGTGTCAAAAGCACGGGGAAAAATTAAAGCACATATTTTTGTACTAGGTAATGTTCCTGCAGACTCTTGCGATTTGCAGTAGTGAGGTTCTGTAAAGTCTGCAGCAGCACCGAATTAGGAATATTGAACCATTGCTCCTGGGCAAATAGAGTCAGGATCCCGCGAGCCTCGGCCACAGCACTTTTATAAACTGATGGATATGTGACTTCGTTTTGTGTGTGCTTGTGTTTAAAGACACTTTAGTCTAACTCAAGCCCGAATGAAACTTCTCTATGTGCCCTATTTTCTCTATAAGGACACGTCTCGGCCTTCTTGTGCTCAGGGCACCAGCCCTGCATTTGGGGGCATTTGAAACAGCGAAATCACCAACTAAAAGTTCAGAAATTCGGAAAACGTGGCACTAACAGACCGTGAGAAGGACACGTACTTACAGCAGGAGAACTGAGACGAGAAGGCAGCGTGTCGCTCCGCTGGACCTTGGCTGGGAACGTTCACACTGGGTGACACGAACTTCTCGCTGCTCTGTGCGTGCCCACAAGAGAGCCGCTAGTTGATTGGAGGCTACAGATCAATGTTAGCGAACAGGCGAATTCACAGATGAGGGACCGAATAGTGAGTACCGACTGCATGCCTCGAATGTCCGCATGAGCAAAGCAGCTGACTTTTATGCAGTTATACTTTTCACATTGGAAAATGATTTTACTTTTGGATGAGGCTGACTTCATTTCCAAGACCTAGCCAGAAAGCCAAGAGACTAGGCAAATATCGATGCTTTTGTATTTAAACATTTATAAAAGACATAACTGAATGTGCTTAATATAAATCAACCCAAATGCTTATTAGAGTACAGCTCGTCATCTGTGCCGTCGTTTTGTTGCTTCTCCCAGCGGGTAAGTGTCAGCGTTGAACGGAGCAGTTCCCTTCCTTCCCCTCCTGCTGAGTTGTTGGGGGACCCCCTCCTGCTGAGTTGTTGGGGGACCGTCGTGCCTTAAACTCAGGTCCACATGTGCAGGTTCTTTCTTCTGGTTCCTCTACGGCTCACCTGTCCAGCTCCGAGCCCTTTTACCCTCAGGCCAGGGCTACTGCCCCCAGCCCGGCTGGAGTTGAATCCCAGGCCACAGCCCTTCACGGCTCTGGACACACAGGGAGGGTGACATATCAAGATGCCCCAGCATGAGCCACAGCTCACACGCGTGGTGCACCTGGTGTTTTAAGACACATGCTGGAATTTATGCTACTTCTAACGTAACGCTGAAAAAATCCACAAAGGTAACAGCTGACTCCTTTTAAATGAATGAACCCCATAAATATTGGTGTTTGCACTATGCACAAGCTAGATAGCTTGCTAGGGCCATCCTCTTCGCTGGGATCAAACAGGTTACAGGTCCTGCAACCACCTGAAAACCCACTGAACTGCTTGGACTGTCAGATCTTTTTTTCCTTGGAGGAAAACAGAAGTGGGATCTGAAGGCCAAGGTCTGCGTCACTTTTGTTGTTTTTATTGCTACCTGGTGGAGGATTTGTCACTTGAATTGGATTCCCTTCTTCCAAAATAACAATGGCTGTCTGGGGGGCTTTTTGCTTGAGAAGGGTGACAATGTGGCAGATGCCCCCTGGCATCTTAGAGTACAGTCACAAAGCCAGAAGGTCATTCAGACAAGGCTTATGCCCAGTATCCCCTAGTCTCCACTCCCTCCCCACAGCATTTATTAAGCACCTGCAGCATGCTCTGGAAAACCAGGCTTTCTGTTTCTGTGTGTCCAGCCTCTCCTGGCCCTCTCCTTGCCCTGCTCCAAACGCACCCCCACCCTGTGGTGTCAACTGAGCCTCAGACCTGCCTGGAGTGGGTCCACAAGTAGAAACAGTGGATATTCTCGTCTATCTGCACAGGCCGATGGCCTTCAAGCTGGAGATGCAGGTCGTGCCCCTGTGGGGCCCTCCTGTGTGGGGACTGCGTGGGGTGGGCAGGGGCCGTTCCGTCGCTGGCCTGAGCCGTGGGGCTGGGGGGCCTGGGAGTCAAGGAGTCACACAGAGTGGTCTCCAGGGCTCTGAGTTCTGACCCCTTGGGAGGAGGAGCAACGCCCCCCTCCCCTCTCAGTGAGTAGCTGGGACAGGCCTGGCATACCCACCTTTGCTCTTCTTGGACAAAAGGAAAGTTCTTGCAAGCACCTTGGCAGGTCCCCAGCAGGTCCACTCCCCCAGGTAAACTCCCCTTCTCTGAGGCACATGCCCTCAACTTCCTTCCTCCTTCCTCTCCAGGTAGGAGGGAAATCGTGGCAATAGTGAAGTAGAAGCCTGTGCAGCACTCTGCGCAAGATTGACAGGGGAGGCGGGAGGGCGTGTGAAGGAAGGGACGCCTCGTGATGAAGTTTCTCAGGCCGGCCGCGAGAGGGCACCCGCCTCATGGAAGGGACTGGCCTGGCTGGTGGCCAGCGGTGAAGTGAGAAGACCTGGACTCTAGAAGGGACGAATGTCTGGTGCCGAACTAGGGACACTCGCGGCACATGCACAACCTGTTCCTGCTAGTCTGTGCATGTGGGCATAGTCTTCCCCTCAAGCACGCGCCACACCCACCAGCCTGTGCCAGCCCGCAGCGGTTCCCAGTCAACCCGCAGGTGTCCTGCAGCTGCTGTTCTCCTGGCAGGCTCTCTCCTGCGAACATTCTCTCTCCTGCGAACATTCTCAAATGGTCCCGACGGATTAAGGATCAGAGTCCCAAGAGTAAGAAGAGATTTGTGGGTGGGGGGCCCAGATGGGAGGGGACGGTGTCACTGGTCTGGCCCCCACCCTACTCCCCATCCTGAGGTAGCCTCTAAGTCTCTGCAGAGAGCAGGGCCCATCGCCCCCGGTCTGGAATGTGTCTCCCCGGAGAACATCTGCTCCTGGGTGTTCACACCTCATCCCTCTGTTCCTTGGGTGTTCACACCTCATCTCTCTAACCGCCCCCTGGTCTTCTCTGTCCTAGGCTCTGCCATTTGTGATCCTTCGACTCCCTTTAAAGGCCAGGCATCAGGTCTTCTCATGCCCCGTGCAGCCATTGTCCATCGTTCAAGGTCCTGCCCCCGAGCCTGCCTTGGGCTGCTGGGCAGGGAGGCCCTGGCTGCAGCACTGATTTGGTTCTTGGAGGGTCCCCACCCCTGGCTAGACCAAAGGGAATAGCCGGGACTCTACAGCTCTCCTCCAGGACAGCTCATGCTGACATTCCCCCTTCTCTGCTTCCTGGCACTCCCCAGCCAGGGCACCTGCATGCGGCAAAGTCCTCCCTGGCACAACCTCCTCTTGACTTGGCCCTGTACTTCTTCGAGTCCACGCAGGTGCCCGGCGACTAGACAGACTGGACACTTGCTCAGTGCACACCGTGAGCAGTGCCGCTGGCTTCACATTCGGTTTCATTTTTATAAGTCTGTTCTCCCCCTTTTCCTTCAGTCTCTAGGAAATCCTCAGACCCGGCTCTTTTGCTTGTTCCCACCTAGTCCTGCCACGGAGGGCGGCTTTGGTGCTCAGTTATGCGCCACTGGGCTCCTACTTGCTGCCACTTGCGGGCTTCTCCCCAAAATGCAAAACACGTCCGAGAAAGGCCTGCTAGAAATGAGTTTATTACAAACAGTGCGACTCCTAGAAGCATACACAGGTGGTACTGATGCTCCGAAAACACTGGGTTCCTGAAAGGATGTTACAAAAACCGGGAAATAACCCTTCTAGGATGGTTAGCATGCATGGGTTTCTAATAAATTAGAGAGGAGAGTTCAGAGAGGAAGAGTGATTCTAAGGGTTGAAAATATTTTCTCCAGTCGGGAAAGTGGCATCATTCACCCCATCCGGATCCGGTGCGTCTGCAGGCAGGGCTTCCGTCTTAGTGCTGGAGATCAGAGTGCCACCAGAGATTCTTACCAAGTCCTCATCAGCTGACGGATAAGCAGAGACCGTGACTGTCGGGTCTGGCCAGAGAGCGCTCAAACACAGTGTTTGTTCAGCGGCTGAATGATAAGGGTGCAGCTATGGGGAAAGGCGTGTCTACAGGGCCAGATACAGAGCTCGATTAACCGGGGAATTTGGCCAGCCGGCGCCTGGCCTGCGCCAGCCGTGCTAACCGCTCCTTCAGGAACTTCCTCTTGTCGCTGGTGTCGCTCCGTTCCTTCAGGAGCCAGCTGTAGCTGTCCTTGTCCTGCAGGAGCTGCAGCATGCCCTTCTGCAGATCCTGGCCGTACATCTGCAGGACGAAGTACTGGATGGTGAGGGGGATGTGGTTGGAGATGCGCTTGCTGACCTCCTGGAAGGAAGGGACAACACACAGGCGGTTGAGGCAAACTGCGCTGCACCACGTGAGCGTCGCGGCACCCAGATTTCCAGTGAGGGAGACCCTGGCAAGGATGGGTCCCTCCCCTGGGTTTCAGACCCATCAGCGTCTTCTGCACGGGAGGCGGAGGGGAGCCTCGCACGGGGCAAAGACGGTCCCAGCTCCAAGCCGTGCTGCACTCTGGACTGCACACGCCCACCCGCTGTTCCTGACCATTAGGTGGGGACTTCAGATGGAAGAGGGAATATATACCCTAAGAAGCACAGACAGCACAAAAACTGTATTCTCAAATTGTTTACAACTCTGCTGAAAAGATGTTATGGCTTGTCTTTCATCAACACTCCAACGATTTAGCAGAAAGTAGACTCTGGGCTATCAACAGCCACGGAAGACGCCCCCTGAGTTACATGCACGTGGACACATTTACCATTTCCTCCCTGCCCAGGCCCCCACCGTTAGGGAAAGTGTCCTCTCTCCTGGGACTGGCTGACCTCGCAGGAAGGTGACGGATACCGGTACCCCGGCAAGTCCTGCTACCTCTGTGCCTCAGTGCCCTTCCCTATGAAGTAGGGACACGGATAGCACTGGCCTCATGGATGCTCACAAAGATTAAATGAGTTAAAAGACACAGCTTTAGAAAGATGCCAGGCACGTAACGAGCACCCAGTGGAAGTTAGCGGAGCGGGTGAGGGGGACAGAGATGGACACACGGCGCATGTTCCAGGGCCAGAGCGAGTGAAGGGCGGGGACCACGTCCCAGTGCAGACGGGGAAAGGAGACAGGAACAGGCAGAAGGAAGGGGCTCAGGAGCGATGCTGGGGCCAGGGCAGGGCAAAGCCACCGCCACCTGCAGAGGGTGTGTGTGCTGCCTGGGAAAGCTCACTAAGAATCAGCTGTGAAACTGCTACGCGCGGTCAGAGACTCAGAGGGGTGTGGGGCATTAAGCTCATGTATGGAAACCACACCCACCGCCAGCAGCGGAAGATGTCACGGGAGAAAGGGCCTGCTGCAGTAGACAGGGCAGTGAGGAAATAGGTAGGCATAAACCTCAGAAACGTGCACTGTCTACGCAAAGAAAACCTCAATATATTCCTGAGACCCCCGCCAAAGGAGGCCTTGAAAATGGAGAGACCCATGATGCCCTGGGACAGGAGCCTCGGTGTGAGAAAGACGTCACCTTTCCCTGCGGAGACCCAGGCAGTGAACGCAATCCCAACAAATACACCAGCGGTTCTGTCTGTTCCTAGGAAACTGGATAAGCTAATTCTAAAATTCATACCGAAACCGGAACCAACAAAAATGCACAGGAAATTTCTACATAAAAAGAAGTGGGGGCCCAGATGCTCGTACACCCATGGTCATAGCAGCACTGGTCTCAACAGCCCACGGGTGAAACAACCCAGGTGTCCGTGGATGAAGCCAAGGCGATACATACATCAGTGGAATATTATTGTCTTACAGACACTGAAACTCTGACGCACGCTACGACGTGCACGAAGGTGGACGACACCATGCTGAGTGAGGTGAGCCAGTCACAAAGTGACAATACCGTGCGGTTCTACTTGTATGAGGTCCCTGGGGTAGTAAAAGCCATGGAGACCGGAAGTACAAAGTTGGGTGCCAGGGGCTGGGGAGAGGGTGGGGAGTTAGTGTTTCATGGGGACAGAGTTCCAGTTTGAGAAAATGAAAAAGTTCTGGAGATGGACGGTGGTGATGGTTGTACGACAACGTGAATGTGCGTGATGCCATCGAACCGAACACCCAAAAATGCTGACAGTTAAGACGGTGAAATGTGTCTTATAAATGTTGGAGCACAATAAAGACAAGAAAGAAAAGAAGCGGTGGTGGCCCGGGCGGTGCTGGCTGCGCTGCGTAGGGAAACACTGCACAGAGATGCTCGGATGCGACCATGCTGACCGGTGGAGGACAAGACAGCCGACAGATCAGGAGACAGGTTCCAGACAAAGGGAGTGCAGAGGGGAAGGGCGCACGGCGGGGCATGTGGCTGTCGCGGGGACAAGATGGCTCTCGATCGCTGGTGCTGGGACAGCTGCTAGCGATCTCCACCCTGCCTCGTTCTTGACATCCAACAACTCCAAATGCATCATGGCTACAGTGTAAAAGTTAAAGTAATAAATGACTTGAAGAAAATATTTTACAGTTGTTTATAATCTCAGAGAGACAAAGTCCTTTTAAAGTATGACCAGAAAACACACAAGCCCAAAAAGAAACGATAATTAAATGCAATCCGCAATGTCTAGAAAACTTCAGCATGGTCTAAACCCACCAGAGACAAAGTCACAAGGCAAATGACAAAATATAGAGTATTTGCGAAGTAAGTTACAAAAGCCTAATACCTCACTGTGCCAAGAGCTCCTCCTGGACAGTTTGCTACACAAGAAACAGAAATCACTCTCAACGAACACGAAAAGACAGACCACCTCGTTGCCATAAGAGAACTGCTAATTAAAATTAAAATTAAAATTAAAAGATGTCACTTTTACCTATATGATTTCCATACATGACTGTCAAAAAATCCCAATGACTTTAGGCGTGGACTAGACTGGCAAGAGTGGGTAATGTTTACCATCTGCAACGAGCTGGGCCTTCCCCAGGCGTGACGGTCAGTTGTGTGCGCCCGCTCAGCTAGGCTAGGGTCCCAGTGAGTCAATCAGCACGAATCTAGGTGCTGCAGGGGAGGCGTTCTGTGTACACGGTTAACATCTACAGTCTGTCGACTTCAGGGAGATGCCCTCCATAACCTGGGCAGCCTCAGCAACCTGCTGAAAGGCCTTGAGGGCGAAAATGAGGTTTCCTGAGGAAGAAGAGATTCGGCCTATGGACTCAGCTGCCCGCCCTAGGATTTTGGACTTGCCAGCCCCACAGCCCCACAAGCCAGTTCCTTGAAATATATTTCTTTATATGCACATATCCTATTGCTTCTGCTTCCCTGGCACTCATACACCAGCAATCTCCTTTCTAGCAATTTACGCTTCCAGATACATGACATACGGACGAGGCTATTCGGGTCAGCGCCCCTGCTTGAGCACAAGACTGGAAACAAATTATTTCCATGAACAGGGGACCGGCTCAGTGCACTAGGTCTATAATATGGTCCCCTCGGCAAGCGTTAAAGAGAACGAGGCGGCTCCCTATGAACTGAGGCAGAGCCGTCTCCCGGGCGCAGCAGAAGCAGCAGGGTGCTGAACAGCACGTGCACTACGCTACCCTTGGTGTAAAAACAATTGCAGAATGCACATGCAGGGCCGCTTTCCAACGCACGGATTTGCCCTGGGAGGACAGAAAACCTGGAAAAGGGCTGCTTCCGGGTAAGGAGCTGCCTGGCTCTGGTGGGGTTCGTTGGAGACTCATTTTCCATTGTCACTCACTCTACCTTTTGGATTTTGCGCAGGTGCGCGCCTTATCCGCGCATTCTAAGAGACGGCATGAGCAGCAGACAGGTGCTGAGCTCAGCTGCAGGAGAACCAGCTGTGCGCTCCTGTCTTACCCTTGACTGGCTGCACTCAGCCTGTGCACCTCCCAGTGTCTGCAGGAGTGCAGTTTGGCCCTTGGTAGCGGGTCTCTGCCCAGTCGCACGGGCATCTTCCGAGAGCCCGTGAAAAATGCAGAATCTGGGCCCCACCCCAGACCTGCAACCAACACCCGCATCTCAGCACGACGCCCAGGAGGCCTGTGTGCGCGGTGGCGTTTGAGCAGCACGGCCTTAACGCATCCAGATAGGGAACTGATGGAGATGTCTGGCAAACCGAGAGATTGCACTTTGCTTTACCTGTCCAGATTTCTCCATATCCCGAAGGCTCTCCCCGAGTTGTACCTGTATTCACGGTGGCCTTCCCCAGGATGAATTAGATCGCATGCTCAGTTATCTGAAATGTGCAGGATCAATGAAAGCACGGGTCTGTGGGACAGCTTCCACTTGGTGAGCTGCCACTGCGTTCCGATGCTGCGCTAAGGAACGTATCCACACCTGACTCGCGGAATAGTCACTAGAACCCCATGGGGAGATTCCACTTTACAGAGAAGAAAGCCAAAGCTCAGATAGGCTAAGTAACTTGGCCAGGACCACACAGCTAGTCAAAAGCAGATGTCAGAGGCTCTAAGCCACAGCCTCTTCTATGGAAGCTGAGTTGCTTCTGTGGAGGCTCAGAAAGAGCTGAACAGCGGAGCTGAGCGGTGGCCACCTGCAGGGAGAACAAGACTAGAGAGGGAGGCATTTGGAAGAAAGGAAACACCCCTCTGAGAGGTCCGCAGACTCACCTGGTGGTAGGCCATCAGGTGCTGAAAGATCTCAGCCATGGAAGAGTCTTTGGAATTTTGCGAATGTTGCAGAGGGAAGAAATTGACGGATTTTTTAGTTTTCTCTTCTTCCACCTCCTCCTCGCGGACCTTCTGCAACGCACCCCTGTAAACCTGGTCCTGGCAGTAGACGATCTGCTCCATCTGGAAGTGAAGTCGGATCGACTTCTCAGCTTCCTTCTCCTTTTCTAGTCTGATGTCTTCGATTTTGGACTACGGCAAAAGAGAAACACAACTCAGTTTCCCTCGGGAAGCGACTCCCTGAGACACAGGAAGAGAGGGCGTCTGGAAAGCCCGCACGCATCAGCTTCCCTGACGAGCGTGCGACAGCACAGGCCCCGCCGCGGCTGCTCTAAGTGGGGGCCACCCCTGGCCCGGGGTGGAATCTCTGGGGAAGCCACACGTGTGACCAGACCCCTCCCGGGGCCTGGGACCTGCCTGCATGGACTCTGTCCTCAGGCGCCATGACTCAGCTCCGTCTTTTCTCCCTTAGGGGCTTTCACATCTGCAGACGAGGTGATCGCGTTCGCCAGGGAGCCCGCAGGGATAAGGGAGGCAGCATTTCAGCCAGTCAAATTCTATGTGTCACCAAGTTCCTGGGACGTTTAGAGAAACTGGCTGCCAAAAAGCCAAGGAGGAGAGACAGTAACAGAGGACATCTGCACCCTCCGGACCTTGGTGAGAGCCACCAGGCCCTGCGCTGGGCGCGCCCCAAACATCTCCTACGTCCCTCACAACCTTCCCAGGAAGGTCTTCCTGGTCCCTTTTATGGACGGGGAGCCAGAGGCACAAGCTGGTGCAGCGGCATGTCCCGAGACCTCCAGCTCTCCCCAGCTGTGCTGCGGACCCTGTTTCTGAGAGTGGGTGAGTCTGGCTTCTTACCCCAGACTGGCCTCCTGGCTCGGAGGAGAGAGGGTGTCTCTTTTCTTCTTGGCTCTTTCTTTACTCTCAAAAGATACCATTTTTAGACTTAGCTTCCTCAGTGAGTTTCTGGATTTGGGGCCATTTTCTTCAGCTGTGATAATCTTCTACACTAACTGTGGATCTCTTGTTCCCATGAGTGTAAACACTCTCTCTCTTCATTGCTTTTAACCAGACATCACTGGTAACATCATTAGTAAGAGTCGCGGGTGAGCTCTATTATTTGCTTCTCTAAATATATACAATAAAGTTGAAATGGTCTTAATCCAAGAAATCTGTATTCTAGCGCCAGGCTTTTTTTTTTTTTAATAACATACATTTGGTTTTACCTTGGCAGTTCTGTGGAGGTTAAAAAATTCTTCAAAATTCTTTATCGAAACATCTGAGAAAGCCATCCGGACTATATCTGATCAAGAAAAGAAAAACAGTTCAATATTGGTAGGATCATTTGTACTTGTCCTAGATTGTAAAAAATACAGATAAAACAGTAAGAAGAAAAGTTTCCTTTCTCCCTGCCTCCCTCCTTCCCTTCTCCTCTTTACCATAAAAAAAGGAAGGCATGCTCTTTTGCTGGAAGAAATTTAAAACCTAAATGTTACTTGGTATATATTTATTTGACATTTAAACTTTTTATCCTAA